ACATAGAGATCAAAATGAGCAGAAATGCATACTTGTTCTTCACGACGCTGACCAGTAACTTCTAATATCCCCATTCTTGAATTTCAGGAACAAAGTTCACCGGGAGGCCAATAGAAACCCTATGTTTCACCTAGACAAACTTCACCAGGATCACCGGGAGTCCATTCCGCCTCTTCCCCACACTTACCCCGGTGCTCCCACGCCGGCAATTATCAATGAACTTCTTCATCTATCTGGTACTCGTAAAAATGCTGTAACATTTGAAATGACACAATTCATATTCTAGACGGAGTAGACGGACCGCCGGCTCTCAACCACCTCAATTTCAATGAAACAATTTCAAAAAAAGTATAAGAAGAACAAGATGAAAGTACGATACTCACCTACTTGTAATGGATTTATCCATATTGAGATTGTTGTATACGAAAACAAATTGGACCAATGATTGAGAAACCCCACTGCCTAGGTAAGCTAATCAATCCAGTACTCGTTCACCAGTATACATCAAATTAAAATGAGATTTCTGGAGCAAATTCAAAATCGAGTCAAGGTAGCGATTCATAGGTACTCCCTCTATCGTCTATCTACACTCTACCTCATGGGTACCTTTACACCGATGATTTTCCATGAGTCTCATAATTTCATAATGCTATGTCAATCCATGCATACACAGGTACAATTCATGACCTCTAAACACCCACGCTCAAATTCCAAACCAAAAATCAAATATCAAACGGAGATCTCTCAAATCTCAAGCCTCTAAATCCACATCACTCTTCTTTCCACTCCCGATGATCTTTACACTTTCCTGCCCACCTTTGCCCGTCTCCTCAAATTCGCTTCCTTCCTCCGCATTATACGCCATACTAGGATCATCGATTTCTTCCCCGACTTCCATCCATACATCGCTTGTAGCGGGTACAGGGAAGAATTTACATAGAATCCAATACACGCTTGACGCGACAATAAACCCGCAGAAGAAGTTTAGATTATAGATATATGTTGCGCCAATTGGAACTTTCTTACCAATTGCTCCTACGAATCCCACAATGTTGATGAGGATACCGGCGATGTAAGCAGCGTACCCTCTCCAGTGAATACCCGCTGTATAGTAATATGGAGAGGTTTTCTTGGCAGAATACAGGTTTCGAACTTGCAGGTAGCCCTTACGAACGAAGTAGTAATCTGAGATGATGACACCAGCAATGGAAGAAAGGAAGACGGAGTAAGCGGACAGATAGGTGGTGAAGTTGTTGGAGGTTGAGAGAAGATTCCAAGGACACATGACGAGACCGACGAGAGCGCAAACATAACCGCCGCGACGGATATTGATGTAACGGGGTAGGAGAGCTGTCATATCCGTACCTGCAGATACGGAATTGGCTGCGATATTGGTACCGAGTTGGGCGAGAGCAAATGCAGTTGCGATGAAAAATACACCGGCGCGATTTCCGGACCCTCCTTCGGTTAAGAATGATTGGAGAAGATCGAGGGGATTCCAGATGGCTTCACCGAAGATGACGGTTGAAGATGAGGAGACAATAATGCCAACGAAAGATGTGACGGCAAAACCGACAGGGATAGTGATGAGTTGCGACCAGAAAGCATCCCTAGGCTTTCGTGCAAAACGTGCGAAATCGGGATCGTTAACGATGAGAGTTGCGAAGTTGGCGATGGAAGACATAATTCCAGTGACCATTCCCCAGCCCAACGCACTTCCATGGCTTGTATTTCCTTGTTTGACGATTGGTCCAAGACCCTTTGCGCGAACTATAGCCCAGATGAAGAATGAGAGGCCTGCAACTGGTACCACATATGCTTTAACTGTAAACAAATGACGAATTTTGTGGACCGGAAACCAAATTGCTGGAAGCGAGAGAAACCAAAAAAGGAAGAATGACACAAACATCACAGTGTTTGTTCCAGAATTAGGGATTCCATTGTGAACCTTGCCATTGGGCTGCCACGATGGCCAAATTGCAGCGATCATCAATTGAACACACTCTCCTCCAATCCAAGCCTGCACTCCGTACCAGATACAAGCCATAGCTGCACGATTGAACACAGGCCACAGAGCACCCCAAATACCGAAAGACGATCGAGCAATAACAGGAAAGGAAAGATGATAAGTGGCGCCAATTCTTGCCGTGGATACAATGAAGCAGGCTGCAATTGAATATCCAATCCATACACAAAGCCATGATTGCCACCACGATAATCCGCCGACAATCATGCTCGATGATATCATCCATGTGTTCTAATTGGTCGCAACGTTAGAATCTTACTTCTGGGCAAGAAATGGTCATTGGAGGCATGCTCACAATATTAAAAGAATCCGCGATCCAAAATCCTACGAAATTCCAGGTTCCCCATTGCCTACGTTCTGGTTCGACTGGAAGAGATATCAGTATTTGTGTACTCATACAAGATAAGAATTACCTACCAGGCTTCAAATCGTGGTTGTTTAACATGAGTTGAGCGTTGGTCAATCCAGGTTCGGCCTCTACGGCCAACTTATCGGCCCAGTAGCCAATCTTCGTATTTTTGACTTTCTCCATGATGAAATCAAGGAACCAGCCGCCCGATTCGTCCGAAGAGTGAAATATAATATCTCTGAAGTGAATATCTGAAGAAGAGGAAGAAGAAGAGAGGCGTCTGGGAGAGGAGGTTGATTTATTTCTAGACTGCAAAGAGGAAGAGGGGTTATGAAGTAACGTTGTACCGGTTGCGCTCTCTTGGCTCTTCGACGAACCACTGGTAGAAATTAACGGCGTGCTTTCGTCGACTGGTCTAGTACCGGCAGTGTTCTTGGTTTCTTCACCTCCAAATTTGAAGACGGGCATTGCATCTATTATATAGATTATTGGATAGACAAGGGCCCTGGACGCCGTCTATGGTCTTTCTCGGCTTATGATCCTCTAAAGTCTTTTTACCTTCTCTGTAGCTGCATAAAAAATTCTTTGAATCCCTACACAATGTGAAAAAGAAGTATAATCGCACAGGAGACTAGATCTAAATTGTCGGTCGATTTGTCGACTTGGGTTAAGTTTATTAGTTTCTTGTCCCAGTTTACCGGTTCGAAATCCCCCGATAGATGGAAGGTACCTGGCCTAGTGTTGTCATGTAAGTGAATCATCTACATTTGCTTCTTATCTCTGAAATCCTCTCCCGTGCAGATGCATTTCACCAACCAAGACAATCAATCCAAAGGCAAGGGCCATTAGAAGAGTATATGCCAAACCATTTTCCTTAGTACCAAAGATACGAGAGATACGCAACCCAGACCCCACGCTGCAAGATCCAGGATCATGATCTCATATGATGAACCATTTTACCATTTGGTGCCCAGATCAATACGTTTCCGTGATGTGAATGAGTGATTGATGGCTGGAGTCCCTGTTGATTTCTCTGAATCCTCTCAAATCATAAGCTCCGCATGATTTAGAATGATTTTTATTACCTAGCAGCCTAGGTAGTCGTTTGATCATGGATAGACTAGAAATTGGTGTATCATATTAGCTGTTGATCATCCCTAGCGAGACCTATCAGCAAGCACATCGTTATCTGGCAACGTCGGGTGGATTCACCGAGACTGTGATAGTGTCGATAAAGATAGAAGATAGATAAGTAATACAGATAAGGCTGCTATTTTACTCGATGTGATCGAGCAATGAATTGTAAAATTGCGGGGAAGGAACATGGAGATTGTGAGAGTACGGAGTGAGAGAAAATCATATGCATGCAGGTAGGGCGTTGGAAAGATTCCTCGGTGTCCCCGATTCTTAATAAGGTAAAGTGATTGAGTATTCCTGCAAGAATGCGACATATAAGATATCACATCTCCGGGGAATAAGTTGTCCAGCGTTATTGACAGTATAATGGTTTAGGATGTCGCCGTCGCCGTGAAAAGTTTTCACAGCATTAGATCGGGGGCTGAAAACGTGATCACGTGAATTTATCTCCGATTTCGGTATCCATGAATTCTCGAGAAGAAAATTATAGTAACTCTCCGATGCAATCGATTGATCTTCGCACCTCCGAGAGGAGGAAGGTGAGAACGATTACCCTCTCGAATGCAGAAATGATCTATTTCAACGAGGAAACTACACCTCCAATAATTAAATGTTAGTAATGTGCATTTTTTTGTTCTATTGACCTTAATGATTTACTGTTCTTGTTTTATACAAAATGTTCATCCCCAGAGCCAAGTCGTGACAAGCTGAGAAGCCATGGCGATGGTTCCAGCGGCAAAGAGCTTAGCAACACTCTGGAGTCGAACCGGGAAGAGAGCTATCATGCCGTCCCTGATCGGATTCTAGGAGCAATCCAGGTGCAATACTCTATGGAATTTTAAAATTAACCACGGTGGAATTGATGGGTTTAACTCCTGACAAATTCAATCAACTGGTCAATACTCGATATCCTCAGCAGGAACAACATTGTGCTGCACACTATCGAATGGAGTAAGACATGATTTGACCATGAGGGTGAGAACTTTGTAGATGGAATAGATGACTAGCATACGAGCATGATCACAACATGAGCTTGAAGTTTCAAGCCAATGGAGTAAACGCTGCCTCAGACTCAGCAGTCAGCGGCCTCCCTGCTTTCGGTTCTTCAAGGAATGGCCGGGGATAATACTCGTGTAGCGTTCAGTCAACGAGGTTGGATGATATTGCTTACGATGTTGCTTTGACTGTCTGTCCGGCATCAATTTCTATTTGGTTATCGGTTCTACTTCGTCGACGAACGTACGCTAGAGGAGAAGGCAATGCATTACTCTTCGGAGGAGAAGATTACAACTTTTTAAGTATAGTTTGGATCATAATGTGGAGCGATTCAGTGATAAAAGTCACAGAGATTACTTGGATGAAATGGGATCACAAAACATAAAATAAGCTAAGAGGTAGTTAAAAGTACAGCAGCCTTGGTCATTCATCGAATAAAATTGTCAGAAAGATTTATCGCCGACGCTCCTGAATTAAGAGAGAAGATCCATCCTACTGATCGTCTTTCAAACCCACCATTGCCAACGAATCTTTCCAAAGTCGAGCCTCAGCCTCAGGATCGTAAGCATGCCCTGCAAACCCTGCACCTGTAATCTCGTGATTCTCATTCCCACGAGTTGTCTTTCCGCACTCAGCAAGATATTCTCCGCCCTTACTTTCCCATTCTTTTCCAATGGCAGCCCACACTGTTGTTGCAACGCCCTGCTCTGGCGTTTTCATTATTTTGTATGCGCTTTTATCCTTTTTCAATTCTTCAACCACTGCAGGGTCCATATACTGCATGAGTCCCGTTGAGGCAATTACTCCAGGATGAAGACTTGTGGCGTGAAGCCCTCGGGATCCGTAGCGCCGCTCGATTTCATTGGCCATGTAGATATTGGCGGTTTTGGCTTGCCCATATGCAACCCATTCATTGTAATCGGTCTTCTCGAAATTGTAGTTGCCTGATTCGTTGATCGGTGCTACGTGATGGGCAGAAGAGGCGAGATTAACGACTCGAGATGAGAATTCTGGGCTGGCGCTGGCGAGGAGAGCTGGCTTCAAAAGCTCGAAAAGGAGGAAATGAGATAGATGATCGACTCCAAATTGCTTTTCAAAGCCATCTTCCGTAAGCTCCAATTTAGGCAGAGCCATGATACCGGCGTTGTTAATAAGGATGTTGACTTGGTTGTTTGACTTCTGGAGAATATCATTTGCGGCGACACGTACGCTGCTAAGTGAATTGTTGTCCATCTTGACCAGTTCAGCGCGTCCTGGTGCGAGGATTCCATCCAAAGCGTTCTTGGCTTTATTCAAATCTCGTGCGGTCAACAACAGTTTTGCGCCAGTCAAAGACAGAGCACGTGCTGTCTCAATACCTATTCCAGCCGAAGTGCCTGTGATAACAATAACTTTCCCAGCTAGCTTGCCCTCCGCACCTTCGTCCTTGATGATTTGAATAGCTGTTGGACGAGCATCCCCAGGGCCATTGGGATTCAGATAAACTTCTGCGTATCGAGACATCGTGATTGAGAGAGTGCGTATATTTGGATTTGGTGTTTGAAATTTGGTAATGATGTAGAAGATGTGAGTTCTAATTTGGGAGACATAGGGGAACTATTTATATTTCTTTTCGTTGCTTGAACCTTCAATTCTGGACTTTCGAATTGGAACCTTAACTCCTGGGCGGCGATGGAGATTCATAGTTTACCTTTGGTATTATAAATCAACAGGAATCGGACTTTTCTTACACATGAGCAGTCAAAGCTGGACCTATCCCCTCTCCGTCTTCAGCTATACTAGTGCTACTACTTACTTCACGACCCATTTCATGCGTAATCCAACATCTCGGTGTGCTGCGGAAACCAAAAAAATTCTGACAAATCTCGTCTATTACGAGATAAAAGAACTATTGTATCCTGGAACAGGGCTATATTCTTGATCACGCTCTCTTGCTACAGTAGCAAAAACATGACTCGGTAGAAGGATGTGTCTCGATATAAGAATGTGTTCCGATATAAGGATGTGTCTCGACATAAGGATGTATTACGGTATAAGGATGTGTTTCGATATAAGGATGTAATGATTAGTTATCCGCCTCTATTGGTAGGTATATCAGACTATGGAAGTTCAAATCATTTCTTTCCCATCTTTTCAATTAAATATCAACCACTTCACCATACAATTGAAATTTCTTTGATACGAATATTGGCTTATATATACTTCTCCAAACGCATCGAATGGAAATATTTTTTCCCCCTCTGGCTAAGGAAGGGAAGGGAGGGAAGGGGAAGGGGAAGGGGGCCATGTGATCTTTACCCTCCCCCTATCAAGAAACATCGACAAAGGTAGAAGAAATAGTTATGACCAAAAAATTCCGCACACACCTCCATACTATGTTCTTAAAAATTTACAATGTGGCTTTGTTTTTTAGAGAACGTTTCAAACTTTTGAATTTGTAGCATTGAAATTTCTACACAGCTCTTTGTCTGGAAATTTGTCACTTTCAAAGGGGATGTAGTATGATATGGCGCTTGTAATTCAATCAATATCCTCTATCCTTATGCCTTCCTCACTGGTTCTTATATTACAACTGGTAAGAGTTAGACCAGGTAGAGTTCTTTCCAATCATCATCTAAAAGACTTCAACAGTCGAGCTTCCAATATTTGCATTCCACGTTATCAGCCTCTCGTTTCTAGATGCACGCCATTTATTGCTTGCTTGGATCAAATCATCACATCCTTCTGGTGCCCAGCTCCATTTTTTCACAAAGCCGGGTGTAACTTCCCAACTTTCTACATTCCATGGATGACCCCAGTTGATCATACATTTACGTCCAGCTGTGTAATCATCCTGGTCTTCGGAACCATCGATACTAGAATCGTTTTCTTCAATTGACGGCAGTGCTGCTAAAACATCACGCATTTGTAATGTACATTCATGAGCATCTGGTGTTGGTGTAACATAATCTGGGAAAATATCACCAAAGAGGTCCCGACAAATTTCTTCAGGCACGAAATTTACACCTTTCTGAATGAGGTTATTCCGAAATTTCGGGAAAGGAAACATATTTATAACGCCCGTATGGGCACAGGTCATCTGCAATTCCGTTGGATATAGTGAACCAGGCATAAGTATGCCATCAAGAGGATGGACGACTGTTAGGCCGCCACAAATTTTAGTAGCAAACTGTGTGATAGGTGCTGTCAGAGGTGATGCCTTGAGAATGAGTGTTGATGCAAATATTAGATCTTTATTAGACATTAAAGCCCGATAAGAATTGTGTTGAACAAGGTGGACAAAATGATCAGATGATATCGTAGGTGTCGCTGATATATTCATCTCGGTAGCGAGGCTGGAGTTATTTGCTAAAGAGGTGGTTGTTGATGCCTCTGTTTGGGGCGAAAATGAGATTAGAGATTGGTTGCATGTGCCCGCAGAGCTTCCACATGGCAGCGAAGAGGAATTTCCGCCCGATGGATGATCTGGTGTCAGAATTGTGTGATCCTGTTTGAGGGAATTTTGGAGCCTCATCTCGTATCTCCGTCTGAATTTGACAACCCAGCCATGAGAAAATTTTGGCGTCACTAAACGCCGTGACTCGTCTGATTGATCCCTTAGCTCCTTGGCCTTTTGTCCGATGGTTTTGTGTGTAACTTTACCGGATCCAGCCTCCACTTCTGGAAGCCAATCTGTGAGTAAAGTCTCTAGCCAAGGCCATTGACAATTTCGTGTTCGAAATTCAGAGTCTGAAGCATTAGAGACATCTAGATAAGCGAAGCTGTTGCTGAGGCTTCGACTGACGATGGACTGACTAATATTGTAGCCGAAGCGAGACTGGAACCACGCTTTCAGTTCAGACTGGGAAGGCTTCGGAGTAGTTGTCTGGTAATATCGACGAAGTGCGACGCGTTGTGAGTGGGAGATTGGGGTCCGAGAATCAGCCATGGTATTAGATTTACGTGCTAGTCAGGAGTACGAAGCGCGATTGTGGCCCAAATCGTGGGGAAATGGATGATTATTGCAGGAAATTTAGAATAACTTTCATTCCACAAAGTGAAAAAAAAGTATGGGGAAAGTATCAAAATCTGAAGAGTGATACCAATGAAGTGATGCAGATTGTGAAGATGGAGAAAATATAATGGAGTGGCATGAGTGAAGAAAGCTAATTTATATTTTAAGTTTAGCTTGACATGAAATCCTTAATAAATATTAGATACCGGTACGAGTATACACTAAGAATTTTAAGTTTCGGGCCAACGAAGCGAAGAGAGAGATTACTAATCGTTATTGGTTTGATAATATCGCTGATGTGGACGTATGGGCTTTTCTGCAACGCCAAGAGGGTAAGAATAATGGTAGGCTATATATAACGCAAAGCAAAACAAATCGTGACGGCGTTACAAAGCATTATGTCTCAAAACAAAGTAATGTTCGCTCTCGTTGCATTTAATTTTCTAGGACCATCAATTCCCCAAAGGCAAAGGAGCATCGTACTCCCTCCTTGAAGCGACTGACAAAGCCTTTTCCCTGAATTGCTGCTGTTCTAGTTAGAGAAAGAACGTAACACGAGCGGACAGGTATCTTATAGATATTATCGGGTTGTTACGCAAGATTCAGCACCTAATCCCCATAGCATTTTCTACAGTAGAGTTTCAAAAGGCTATTCTACCCACTGGCCACCATTACAAGGCATCTTTAAGGTTTGTGGACGAGACTCCTAAGATTTTGTCCCAAGTTTCAGTTGGAGAAGACTCAGATATCCAGTACGTTATGCAGCTGCATGCCATTACAGAGACTGTCACTCGCCTCAGGGAACATCGGAAGCGTAACCACAACCCCACAATCCGATCAACCTCTCTCTCGACCTACGCTAGCTGCATATCACCCTCTTTTTGACCTGAATTGGTCCTAAATCCTCCCCTCGTCATTCCCCAGGAAACTCGGGATTCAATGATTTTTAAGACACAAACAAGCAAGGATATGTCCTCTATGAGCGAAGTTTCGTTCTGAAGAAAGCATTCTCTCATTTGAACCCTTATTGTTTTGCTCCTCACATCCAGTGTTTAATTTTTATAAATTCACAATGGCCAAAAGTGTCTTTATTGCTGCCGCTACCGGTGAACAACGTCGTCCATTATTTATACTATTACTTCAGCTTGGTTACAAAGTAAAAATCCTCGTCCGCGTTTCCTCTTCCAGCGCGGCCCAAGCTTTACGAGTTCTAGGAGCGGAGGTTCATACTGGCAATTTAGAATCCTTTGGAGTAGTTTCTAGAGCCATTAGCGGTGCGGACACTATCTATCTCGCCCTTCCGCCAAATCTGAAGAACGAAATTTTATATGCGAAGAATGTGCTGGAAGCTGCCCAGCAGGAAAAGGTGACCCAGGTGGTTTGATCTAGCGTTGCGAAAACTGGAGATCATGAGACTTTCCATGATTGGAGCAAGGAATATCCATCAGCACAGTATTGGATCCAGAAAGGCGAGATTGAGAAAATGGTTCGCACTTTGGGTTTCAGTTACTGGACAATTCTACGACCTGCGTTCTTCATGCAGAGCTTTTGCTGCCCAAAATGTGATCATATGTTCCTAGGACTTTCAGAATTGCAAACGCCTCGAATTGCGTTCCTCCCCAGCACGCTTCTAGACCTCATCAGCGTTGGGGATATTGCTCGCTTTACTACCAAAGTTATTCAATCACCCAATAGATATTCTAAGAAGACTCTCACGCTAGCTGCCGAGAAATTGTCAGCCGCTGAAATAGCTGATCGATTGGGTGCGGTGAGTGGTAAAGAGATCACCGTTGAATACCTACCCAATCTAGTGGCGAGGGCCCTTCGGAAGCAAGGCAATGGAGTTGTGGGGGCACAGATATGGCAGCGCGATGTTCGTTATAATGTGGATATTGATGCTTTGAGTGAGTATGGGGTATCTTTAACGCCCATGACAGAAGCTCTAAGTAAGGAATCCTTGAATTGGTAAAATGGCTTTTCGCCATTCCATGTGTGGAATTGTTGAGTGGAATATGGTTAGCCACTTCGGGATATGCGGAGCTGTGGTCGATTTAACATTTAGCTTTGGGTGTCTACGCTGCGGTGTAGACTGAAGCTTGGCATAGTTTTACTCGACGGGAATGAGCCGACACCTGGATTCGAATATCAGTTCTATGTTTTCGAACGAGATTGAAATTTGAGTGATTGCTTAACCTACTGATATGTTCTCTTCTAAGGAAAGATCATCACGAAGTCGCAGAATCACCTTAATAGCCCACATTCAATGGTTTTTAATTCGATAATGAGATTCTTTGGATCTGATCATAAGAAGATTACCACCTATTCTAGCGCCCCCGTCTTGCTTCTCGGTGTATTTCTCGTGCGTACCCATTATGCATCCTACTGCTAGCGATTAGTGGCTAAAGAAGCGACGTCCACCTTCACAATGCACAAAGAGATTGGTTGCTTTTTAAGTGAATGGGGCCAAACATCATGGTGTCAAGGATGTAATGTCCGGATATCCTTATATCGAGACATAGTGTCATTGCGTTCTCAGATTTCTAAGCAGACTTGTCCGTAGTGGAGAACAACGCCAGTCAACACCAATGCAAACAACGATGGCTATCTGCCAATTAGCGGTGCAACTTAATTGGAGAATATCGTTATTCACATTTCTCGCACGATCCTGACATGTGTACAATTCAGTTTCTTGCTTGTGTGTAGCTGTAATTTCTATCCCCCAGGTTGTATAATCTCACGGGACTTACAAGATCAACAATGTCAGATAGATTAGCGCTCTCTGGTGGCAACTTTACAGCCACACGGTACTCTACGACTTATGACTACATTTCCCCAATCAAGCTGGACCTTACTGGGAAAAATGTTTTAGTTACAGGGGCAGCGTGGGAGGATGGGGTTGGATATGCTACAGCTACAGCATTCGTGCGTGCGGGTGCTTCAGCAGTAGCATTAGCTGATCTCCACGGCGTATCAGACGATCTTGTCACGAAGCTTAAACTGACTGCAACGCAAGCCGGACATTCGGAGCCTATGGTGCTGAGCTATACCGTTGACATCTCGAAAGAAGAAAGCGTTCAAGCAATGTATAAGATCGTATCAGAACGGTTTGATAGACGTCTGGATATCATCATCAACAATGCAGCTCATATGGAACCATACAAGCCGTTACTCGATTCAGATCCAGATGTTCACTGGCGAACTTTGGAGGTCAATATTCACGGGATCCTAAACATTGCTCGTGCCTTCCTTTCTATGCAGCTTTTGGCTCGTGCAAACAATAACGGCTTATGCACAATGATCAATGTATCCTCTTCAGGTGCATTGAGCGCTCGTCCTGGAAGTGCAAGTTATCGGAGCTCAAAGCTTGCAATTTTGAGGTTAACCGAATCTTTACAATTGGAATATTGCGATCAAGGAATTCTGACCTATTGTGTTAATCCGGGTGCGATCAAGACGAAGATTACTGAGACCGCTCCTGAAGAGGTGCGGAATCGGTTTCCTGACCGTCCAGAGATAGCTGGGGATACGATTGCATGGTTGGCTTCTGAGCGCAAAGAGTGGCTTGGTGGACGATACGTAAGCTGTCCATGGGATATGGAAGAACTTATGAAGAAGAAAGATGAGATCATCGAGAAGGATCTGCTTAAAATGAGGATGGCATTCTGAGTTGAGATCTCCTATGCCCGCGTCGAATCATGGCTGACTACGCCAGATTTAGCCATATCCCTTTAAGTCTTTCGATGATTCTACACGATGACTCTCCGTTTTCATGATATTATTGGCTCAGTCGGATTTTTTACTTACAACGTTCTCTACTTCCTAGATATCTAACTGGGTGGTAAACCGTAGAACAGAACCAATTTCCCATTCCATTTTATCTTCACCGCTTCCTGGCAGAATGATGAGAGCACGTGCTCAATCGGGCCGTGTCGGCTTGTGGAACCAGCCTCGACTCAGCCTAGTATACTTTCTATCCCGTCCCGTCGTTAGGACTATTTTATAGTGACCACTCACTTAATTCTTACCATCCAAGACGGCTCACGAACCACTCGAGATATGTACGTTGCCCAGATATGATTTGACTACATTAGTTATCTATACCACTCTTGTTCTCTCACCACCACATCTCAACCTCCCATTTCCAGGATTCCCCAGATCAAGCTCACCCGTTTTTACATAAAAATCGCTGCACTACAACCTCAAAGCACCACAGCATGTCACCAACATGGCACAAGCATACAATATCTCGTATAGATCTTGATCGTGACTTGCTCATTTAGGAAATGAAACGGGTCGGCTCGTATGCGATATGCAACAAACGTAACCTCAGATATCTCGTCAAAAACTTCGTGCCGTCGTTGCATCTTTTTCTGCTAGGGATGATCACGTGGGTGGTTTTGAGGCTTGGAATGGTTTTTGTGAATTTGGGTAATGCCAAGATGGGCGTGTGGTTTGTATTTGTAGACAAAGTCTGGGTATCAAGAATGCTACAACTGGTGATTCTAGTATCTGATTAGCGGGAGACATGGGCTCAGAGTTCGTCTTGTCGAAGATTCAGATTCTGGGTTATATTGATACTTGACGGCTGGAGATAATCGATATCAAAGGTTAGGCCATCACTATATCATGTCAGTGACATTGAAATACGGAAATTGCAAGAATCCCACAGCGATTTGTTTACCTAGTACCCAAAATGTCATACGTTCGCGGTCTTTTTTCACTTGGTTGTTGTTCTTTTCTTTTCTGAGAAACTCACGGCACGTGAGTTTCGCTTGACCGCACTTGGTATGTCTGTGAGGAGGGTATCTTTTGATTTTTCTATCCAGAATTTATTGAGTTCTGCATCATTTCAAACTCAGTATCTTTATGTCGTCTTCACACAAGCTGATGTACTCATGAGCTCAAGCGGATACCAATCTGATAGTCGATCTTCAAGAAGTCTTTGATGTATAATCTCTGGCCATTATTTCCAGGTCAAGTACAAATGTTCCGATTGTCTTACGCTATCGAACATCTGTACAATATCGCTACCCTTAGAAATGACGACATGCTCATGGATGACGGAGAAGAGAAAGTTGTCTCGAGTTAAACCCAGGCCAACCAAGGAATAATAGATCGAAGAAATGTAATTTATGCAGGAAAGCACGAGGACATATAACCAAATCAGACGAACTGAAGAGTACCCCCAAATTTCTCGATCGTCAAGTGAGAGTCTTAATAAAACAATGTGAAAACAGTGGACTTCCTTGATCTAAGAATTGTAACAGTTTACGATCTCTTTATGACCACATTTCACATCTGGTGGGTCTTCATATAGGTAGCCGGTTGCTTTCATCACTTGGTGGCGCAGCGGCTTCCAAAAAACCGCAAAAGATGCATCTTTTTTCAGAGATATAAAAAGCAAAAAAAAGAAAAAAAATAGCAGCGTGTCATCCACTTAGCACAGGAACGTGATGGCTGCTAGACCAAGATCATAACCCGATGTAAATCTCCAGGAAATACAGAAATGCGAAAACTGCCAGATGTCGCGTTTCAGGCGGATGAACTTGGGTACTTCAAAGGCTAAATCTACTGGATACAATGCTGTCATCCGAATTATTCTTGCCGAAACTTTAATTTATAGTGGGGCTCTGCTATTGACTTCAAATGCAAACAGTATTTTGTTATCGTCTACAACTGCCGGTGGTTCCATTGAACTCACTATTTCATTCCTCTGTACAATCCCAGTCGTTAAATTCGATAAAGCCTTCCAATGCGTTTGAAATTCTCATTTCATTTCACTGATGCAAAAAAAAACAATCCGTATTGAAGAGTAAAGACGAAGTTGTTCTATTCTTCCTCTTTCTCGCGTAGTGCTTCCTATGTACAGCCAATCGAATATATACAGACTCATTCCACTATGTACAATCTTTTCACCAAAATTTACCAGCCCCGATCAATCAATCCTCATTGCTACTAATTTCGAGTAAGACAAGCCGCAACGAGCGCTTGGTCAGTCATAGAAGATCCACTTCCAATAGGCGTTTCTACCAATTCTGTCACATGAATATTAGTATGTTGTCGAACAAAAAATGATGGGCATATAGAAAATTGCTGCACTTACCGTAAGTTGAATCGAAGCTTCCGGCAGACCATCCAATATATCCCAAATAGACATCCGAGTTCGCACTGTGCAATCACATCGTTAATAACATATACCACAGCCTTTCATTCCCAATCTCAAAGACGAAAGAAACTTGGAAACATACTTCAAATAATCAACTTGTTGACACAAGTACTTCTGACAACTTGCGGTATTTCCACCGCCTGTCTCGCTCAAGATAGCTTGTCTCTTATTTGCCCGTAGCCAAGTTGCTAGTGGTGCGAATGCAGTATCGATATTGTTGGTTACGCACTCGGTGTGGGTTCCAGAATTATCGGAGTCGAGATATTTGTGTACGTCGAAGATCAGATTGGTGAAAGTGCCATCAGGATTGGTAATTTTGGAGAGGGCGGCGGCGCTACCGTTGGTGATGAAAGCGCCTGCGGATGTGTACTAGATGGTTGAAGTTAGTGAATTGATTTAAAGTCATGAAGAAGCTTGCAGTGGTTTGGAAGAAAAGCGCTCAGAAAGAATGTATGGTGTCACTATACTTACGTCAGTACCAGGGAGTAGAAGCATGTTAGATGTTGCGCCCGCTTGACGAATAGCAGTAACAACTTTTTGAAGCGTTGCTGCCCAGGTGGTTATACTATTCAAATCTATATTCCCATTAGTTCGTATTCAAGTATTCATTTCTCCTCTCCTCTTTCCTCTCTCCTCCACTTCACGCTCCACCCCCTCAAGAAAAGGAAAATACACACCATGTGGTTCGTTCATCAATCCAAAAACGATCTTAGTATTTGACTTATACTTCGCCGCCAATTGAGTCCACAGACTCACGAACTGCGCATCCGTTGGTCCTCCCTGTCCAATGATGCCTCCATTCC